TTGCAAACCCACAATCATACACATCCCTCAGCTCCCACACCATCCATCCACTTTCTGTCATTCTCGGCCTCAATTCCTCCTATATTTCTTCTCTGCCTCTCGTCGTTCCCACTTCGTTCCTCTCTCTGTCTCGCGTTATGTGAAGCTAACACTCAAGGTTTATAACCAACCCCCTTCCCCATGCTTGTCATTTGTTACCGCACAATGGCACTACACGTCATCTCCCACATCATGTTTGCCTCTTAGAGTAATTGCGGTGATAAGCCTATTTAATCGATTCCAGGTCGAGTGTCGCATGTAATCGCGACGATTGACACTGAGCGCTGAGCGCCTGCATCTGATCATTGCAAGACTTTGTAATACTCGTCTCCAGCTCCCAGGTCACAGTTAGGATGTTGTGACGGTAATCGAGCAATTGGGGTAGGTGAGTAACTAGAATACCGCTCAGCCATGACATCGTGGCATATATGAAAGATGTATTGGCTGACATCACATATAAAGTATGCAGATACACACGTGAAAAGTCGACTTAAACACCACCATGCCCACCGTCGAAATCGTACGTTTCCCTGGCTCTGATGCGTTTGTCGACAATCAACTAGTCTTCAAAGAATGCCTGAGCACTCTTATTAAGTCTGAAGGATGCATCAGGTTTGTACTGGATCTAATCAGTTCTAATCCATTGCGTCTGATATGATCACATCTTCAGCTCTTACTACGGCATCCAGGTTGAGGACAAGCGTACCGGCTACCTCTTCGTCAGTATGTCCCTCGCGATCTACTACAATATGCAATGACCTCAACTTCTGTCGCACAGTATGGGAGACCTACGACCACCACATGAAGCTGACGAAGCACGAATCCTACCCAGGCCTCATTGACTCCCTCAATCTCGCGAGGTCTGCTCCCTTGGACGTCCAGCATGTTGACTTTGACGAGGATGCGGCGGTTGCGTTTGGCTCGGGCGCGACAGAGGTTGTCACCTTCACACCCCACCCTGACGTCAATTTGAAGGAGGCGCAGGAACTTGTTAAGACTTTGACAGAGCAGTTGCTTGCACAAAAGGCGTGCCACTCTGTTGTGGTCGGCGAGAGCAGAGAGAAGAAGGGGACTTATTTCATGCTTGTCGGATGGGATAGTGTTCAGGTGAGTTGGTGTTCGTGGGATACATTGTTATTTGCCGCTGATGATGATGATGTGTTGGTTATTTATTAAGTCCCACCTTGGTGCTGTGAGCAAGGATCCTTTCCCAGAGACCATCAAGAAGTTGCATGCTCTAGCCGAAATCGACTTGAAGCATACCGAGCTGACAAAGTACATTGAATAGAGACGAGGGACTGTCTACATATGTACTAGTGTCCTTGAATTAAAGATTTATTTTTCAGACTGACCCACACCTCCATTCAAACCCCTTTGTTGTAAGTATATCCCGATGATTATCGGTTAGCGCGCGGTTGACCTGGGTTTCTGTCTCCCAACCACCATCGCAACATGCATTTGCAAGTACAATGAAAGATCTTGTCCTATTATCTACGCTCTTCAAGTAAAGGCTAAAGGCACGTGATATTATAGATTTTTACGATCTTGGGCTGGTCAACATATCGCTCATCCCGTTTAAACACCTGTGATACGGGAGGTCCCAAGCACATTGAAAAAATGATTCTTATTTCGACATCAATACTGACAGCAAATGCCGAATTTTGGTTGAACGCGTTCCTCCGTGCTCTCCGTACTCTTCCGAACACCACCTTTGTCGACGGTCAACTAGGCTCCATGTGTTACTAATACACAGCACATCTCGGCGGTGGCTGACTTCTCCGCTAGGAAGCACACAGAATAGACACGGATCGTCGAGATTTCATTGGTTTCTCTGTCATGGCTGATCTTGGGCTGTGTCAACATATCTCTCATCCCGTTTACACGCCTGTGACACGGCTATGGGAGGTCCGAAGCGCATCGAAAAAGTGATTCTTATTTCGACCTCGATACACGCAGCAAATGCCGAATTTTGGTTGAACGCCTAACCGTGTTCCTCCGTGGCTCTCCGTACTCTTCCGAACACAACCTTTGTCGACGGCCAACTAGGTCCCAGGTGTGACTAATACACAGCACATCTCGGAGGTGGCCGACTTCTCCGCTATAAAGCACACAGAATAGACATGGATAGGTTGTTATACCAATGCCTACCGTCGAGATTGTACGCTTTCCTGGCTCTGACGCATTTGTTGACAATCAACTCGTCTTCAAAGAATGCCTGAGCACTCTTGTCAGGTCAGAAGGATGCATCAGGCCTGTACTAGATTTAATCAATTCCAATCCACTGCGTCTAATAGGATCACATCTTCCAGCCCTTACTACGGCATCCAGGTCGAGGATAAGCGTACCGGCTACCTCCTCGTCAGTACGTCCCTCGCAATCTACGCAGGCAAAAGGCAATGTTCTCAACTTTTGTCGCACAGCATGGGAGACCTATGACCACCACATGAAGCTGACGAAGCACGAATCCTACCCAGGCCTCATTGACTCCCTCAATCTCGCGAGTTCTGCTCCCTTGGACGTCCAGCATGTCGACTTTGACGAGGATGCGGCAGTTGCATTCAGCTCAGGCGTGACAGAGGTCGCAATCGTGACACCCCGCTCAGACATAGATTTGCAGGAGGCACAGGAACTGCTTAAGACGCTGAGAGAGCATACAGTTGCTCAGGAGGCATGCCATGCTGTCGCACTCGGCGAGAGCAGGGAGAATAATGGAACCTGGTTCATCGTTGTTGGATGGGATAGTGTCCAGGTCAGTTGTTGGTGTTCGTAGATTATTATTTATTGCTAACGATTCGATTATCAAGTCGCGCCTTGATGCTGCAGGAAAGGATCCTTTCCCAGAGATTATCAAGAGGTTACATGCTCTGGCGGAAATTGACTTGAAGCATACCAAGCTAAGTACACGGAATAGACGCGAGGGGTCGTATGATCGGTATCCTTGAGTTTGAGATATTTTTTTCGACTGACCCACTCTAAATTTCCCCCCGCTTAAATACCTTTAAACGTGAGCTTACACTTTCCCGACCACCTTTCTTGACTTATCTGCATACAGGGATCAAGCCCTTTAATGTCCCCGTAGTCTGGACCCGTTAACCTATGGTGACAACGTTCAATGGAGCAATATTCTCTCAAGCTCTCAGCCCACATCACGATCCCTAAAATTAAATTGAGGGTTGAAAGGTTGTTCAGTCTGGACATTACCGATGGAGCTTTTAAAGCTTAACGGCGAGTGTGTGGACACCAAAATACTAACATCCAATTATGCCACCCACAGTCGAAATTGTACGGTTTCCTGGCTCAAATGCTTTCCTCGCCGATCCGCTTGTCTTCAAGATACAGATGGCTACATCCGGTTCGTTCGGTCTACTACTGTTGTTTCCCAAAAGTCATTGCATACCCGAACTCCAGCTCTCATTACTCTGATCTTGATGATCGCAACTCAACCTTTTGTTCCTAACGGTGGAGTTAAGTAAAATTCCCCCCAAAAAAGTGAGTTGGTAGCTGTGTCGTCACATGTACTGTATTGGTATTCTTGAGCTAAAGAGTGTTTTCGATTGCTGTAAATCTTTTCCCCGCCTAATTACCACTCAGCATGAGTTCACACATTCCCGGACTTATCTGCATACCCGAAGCCTTCACGGACGAGAATACTGGATGAAGGAATACTCTCTCAAATGTCCGCTTGGCACGCCTCATGTGTCTTCTGTTCCATCGCCACGAGATCGGCACAACCCTCCGGCCCACGTTCGATGATCTAACTATGGGTTGCCTCTCAAGCTCCGGTCACAGGATAGCAAACCTGCAAGGCAGAAGTTGGGAGCTGAAAGGTTGTTCGCTCGGGACATCACCGATGGGTCTTTTAAACATGCCTGAGCGCTATGGACACCAACTCACATTCCCAATATGCCACCCACGGTCGAGATTGTACGATTTCCTGGCTCAGATGCCTTTCTTGCCGATCCGCTTGCCTTCAAGGAAGGCTTGAGCATTGCCACCAATATGGAAGGCAACATCGGGTTTGGCATTCGTTCTACTAGGCCTTGGTTCCCGAATCTCATTTTCCACCTCCAGCTTACACTACGGCGTCCAGACTGAGGATACCAGCACTGGTCACATCTTCGTTAGTATGTGTTCGATTGCACTTGCTGGCCGTTGATAATCATATTAACCTGACTCCGGACCGGGTGCAGCATGGGAAAGCTACGAGCATTACATCGAAAGTAAGAAACTCGACACATTCACGGCATTCACCGCCTCGCTTGACCTCGCACGCTCCGGGCCCTGGGACGTCGATTATGTCCAGTTTGGCGAGGATGTGGCGGTGGCGTTTTCGTCCCCTGTGACGGAGATCGCGACTTTGAGGCTGTATCCGGACCCGAATAATCGCGAGAAGTTGTTGGATGATCTTGTTACGCTCAGAGAGTATATGTCAGCGCATGAGGAGTGTCGCGCATATGTGATTGGGGAGAGTAAGGAGAAGGGGACGGTGTTCGTGCTCCTTGGGTGGACGAGTGTAGAGGTGTGTGATGTTTGTGCTGTGATGTATCTGATGGTGGTGCTAACAACCCTGACGAGGCCCATTGGGATGTTGTCAGCAGGGGGGAGCTCCCGAAAATGATCGAGAAGTTCTATCTTGTTGCTGACATCGATTTGAAGCATTCGAAGCTGACGGAATATAGGGAAGGGGCTTAAGCGCTCAACGGAGGCAATGGTGTTTTCTTGTCCAATGAAACTATGCCTTTTAAAGTCTAACCTTGATGTCACCAACTTCTCAAATTGTAACTTTCGTCAGTCGCCGCCAAAGGCCCGCAAAAAGTTGACAGCTGTTTCTTTGTCAGACTCAGACTCTTCGGCACGATATCGGAACCAGGCAACCTGAGATGCATCGGCATAGCTTTCACTTTATCACCTTTAAAACTTCTTTGCGTCCTTCCAAAACATATCAAATTTATGGATACCCATGCATTAAGGGGGAATCGAACCCCCGGCGGGTCGAGTTCTTTTGACCCAACATGGCAACGACCCAGGTTACCACTACCCCATTAATGCCTACCTTGAAATGGTAGATAAAGTATTGGAATCGAGCGCCCATTTGCGTCTTTCATCCATGGCAAGGACACTTGTTCTACCTACCTTTTGCCACCATGCAATGGGCACTCATGCTAGAATCTTGAAAATTTGGAGCCTAGTGTAGGAATAATCCAATGGATTTTAGATTGCACTGGTTGTAAGAAGCGCCAAATTGGGGGCCGGAGGCCTATTTTCCTTTTAATAGATTGCCATGTAGGAGTATTGAATGGCCAATGTGACATTGGCACTTACATACCGTACAAGTAATGTAGGGAAATGAATATCTTCTCTCTGTGTCCATAATGCCATCTAAGAGATGATACCTCCTCTTGCTGCTGCCCGAGCTTGCACAACAGCACTACTTTGCAAAATTGCAGCCTCTCTATTCTCTAACATGCATTGATACTCAAGGGATTTGTGGCAAGTGCAAGAACAAGTAGGGTATGGCAGTGCAATGCTGATGCGACAGTATGTCGCTACCTCCAACTTATGGGAAGACAGCCCAATTTTGAATTTTCAGCATCAAAAATCACTGGTTCTAGAGATTATTGAGGCAGCAGGGCATCTCTGTATACTGCTCCCCAAATTTCACTGTGAGCTCAATTTTAATGAGTTCTTCTGCGGTGCAGTAAAAATGTATTTGTGAGAGCATTGTGATATGACCTTGGATACTCTGAAGAAAAATAAGCCCTGTGCTCTCAAGACGGTACTGCTCTCAACAATTTGGAAGTGGGAGCATCAGATGCACAGGTGGATGGATGCTTATAAACGGAGGCGGGGTACGAGTAGGAAGTAGCATCCTTCGATACCCATTCAAGCCTTGGAAGAGCATGAGCTTGGATTTAGTGGGTCAGATGGGCAGGCAGCATACGCAGGAATAGTCATCATCATATCGGACCCAGAACTATCAACCCAGCCAACCCAGTCGCCGGCACTGTCGCTAGCGCGATTTTCGAAATACCAGTCGTTTCCAGGGTTTGTGAAACCGCTGAAAGGATGCGAAACTCAAGTTGCTGACGTAATTCGCTGTTGGGAAATTGACTCCGTAGCTAATGGCTGGGATGACTCTGCTAAAAATCCATGGGTCATTAAACTGTCAGGATCGACTTACCAGGACCATCCCTCGACTACGAACAAAGGGTCCATCGCCCGTATTGTTTCAGATACACCT